TATATCGTTCTCTTAAATGGCACTATTATGTGAGTCTATTTTAATCAATATGTCAAGTGGTAAGTGGAGCACGTATCACCTAAATGCTCACCATGGCTGGCTCAGGAGGTAGGTGCAGGCTGTCTTGTGGCTTTCAGGACTGTTTATTTTTACAATTTTACAAATAAAGCACTGTCATCACAAATTGGTAGGTGATATTCAAGTCAACCTCACATAGACTTCCAAATTTGGACAAAAATTTCTTAAGTTCTTATGAAAGAAGTCTGACTCCAAATGTCACCAAGGACTCAACTGTCCACTTTGCATGAAAAATGTAGGTAACACAAAGAAGAAAAGCTGATGACCAGAGGGACTCTTAACTGTTACTCTCTGCTAGTGAGAACAAAAGCAAAAGCATGTCATGCATATTGTCTCCAACCTGCATTCTTACGGAAAGGGTTATGCCCACTCCACAGATGTGAATACGGAGGCCACAGGTCAGTTAACTACTAACTGTTGGAGCCAGGATTTGAACACACACAGTTTATCTGCCTCAAGACTCTAATGCTTTGATCAGCTGATGTCAGCGGAGCTCAAACAGCCAGCTGACTGGTGCCACCTCCCTCCCACCCATGACCGAACGTCCTCGCTGGGGAGCCGGCCCGCAGTCCTGAGCACCCTCACCAGAGCTCCTCAGCCTCCCTCTGGGCCTGCAGCCTCGCCCTCTCGGCAATCAGCTCCTCAGAGATGTCTTCATAGGGCTTGTCGCCGGGGCCTTCTCCCATGATCCAGACCCAGACCTCGCCATCAGCGCCCAGGAGCCACTGGATGTGCTTGCCGCTGGCTGCCTCGCGACAGGAGGAGGAACAAAGAAGGAAGGAGCAGCAGGTTTGATTTCCCTTTGCAAGGAATGACCTACGCTGGCTGATGGCACACACCATCACACCCCTTACACAGTGCCAGCCGTCCATCAAAAGGACTCCAGAGGGACACTGGCACAGACCAGGACCGTGACCCCCTCGCCCTTCCCCTCCCTCTAAGGAGCAACACGAGAGCCAAGCCAGGCTCCTCAGCGGGCTGAGGCCCAGCTCCCCTGAGATTCCCAGTAGAGACAGCAACAGGCAGTGCTCTCTGAAGGAAGTCTGAGGCCCTGAGGCCCCGTGACCTACATTAGCCTGAAACATGAGCAAGGAATAAACCTGTGTCACACGCAGCCGCTGAGATTCCTCAGTTTGCCTGTGGCCACAGATTGCACTGATGACAGTGATGGAAGTGGAGATCTGTCTGCGAATGAGGCGCTGCTAAAGCAGAAACATGAACTACATGTGCTCACCTTAGCATCTGAGCGAGTGATGTTTAGGAGGCTAAACAGCAGGAGGTCCGAGTCACACGGCAGCAAAACACTGGGCAAAACTGTCAGACTCTATGGCTTTACAAGGCAGACCCCTGCCTCTGAACTTAGCATCCTAAGGAAACCGGTTGGAAATAAAGTGTTAGGAGTGTATGTTGGTTGCTAGTGGCTGTGTTTCAAAAGAAATGAATTCAAGAAAGAATTTGTGGCAGGCCTTTGGCCTCGCAGTTAAAACACTGGTTAAGATGCCTACATCCCATGGAGGAGTGCCTGGGCTCCTGACTCCAGCTTCCTGCCAGTGTGGACCCTGGCAGGCAGCAAGTGATGGCTCAGGTGAGGTGGATTGAGTTCCTGGCTCCTGGCTTTGTCTCCTCCATGGCTGGCATTTGGGGAGTGAAACAGCAGATGGCAGTGTGTGTGTATGTGTGTGTGTGTCTGTCTGTCCATTTCTGTGCCTTCCAAATAAATAAACAAAACAAAATTTTTTTCAAGTAAAGAATGTAAAGAATTGAACTCTTGGCGAGTAGAGTGAAGAGAACTGAGAGAATACAGAAATTTGGAGTTTAGAGAGTTTGGAAAAATCTTTTCTGCTTCTTCTAGGGCCCAAATTGCAAGAGATGGGATTTTTAAAGGTTTTACATGAATGAGCCAAATAAAACTTTAAATATATATTTATTTATTTAAAACGCAGAATAACAGAGAGAGACAGACAGACAGACAGAGATCCTCCATCCATGTTTCATTCTCCAGGTTCACGACGGTCAGGGCTGGTCCAAGCCAAAGTCAGGAGCCTGGAACTCCACCCAGGTGTCCCATGTGGGTGACAGGGGCCCAAGCACTTGGGCCATTATCTGCTGCTTTCCCAAGCACATTATCAGGGAGCCGGATTGGAAGCAGAGCAACCAGGACTCAAAACCAGAGCTCTTACATGGGATGCCAGCGTTACAAGCAGAGGCTTAACCCACTGGGCCACAATGCCGCCCCTCCCCAACCCTCCAGTAAAACTTCTAAACAGAATAGCAGTGATGGTCATGAGGGAGTGCCCCATGGACCTCCAACCACAGAAAGAAAAACGGACTGAGCACTCCGGCCCCTGGGATCTGTGTGCCCAAGGCCATGCTTCCCAGGGGCTGTCCCAGCCTTTGGCTGCGCGTGGCAGGCTCATTCCTGGGAGACACTGACTCCTTGCTACAGGACTGCATCCCTTGCATGGCCTCGCTGCCTAGGACACCTCCATCCTGCTGCCTTCCCTTTCCCCTTCACACAGGGTCAGCCTGCATCGCGACATGATGGCTCTCCAGCCGCCTCCAGCTCCCTGCTCCACTCCTCTCCTCATGAGCATTTCCCTTAATGACACCCTTGTGTGGTGCTCCAGTTTCAATATTGTGCCCCCCTCCAGAACTCAGGTTCTGGTCCCCAAAGTCTTATGTTAAATGATTCTGAAGAGGTGGAAACTCAGTCCAATTATGATGCTTAGTGTCCGGGCCTTTGAAAGGAGTGACTGGATTGGACTAGATCAAAGGGTGGAACCCCCAAGACTGAGCCCTGCTAACTTTAATAAGGACAGAGAGATAGACATGGGCTCCCTGGCTCTTGCTATATGATGATCTGTGCCACCCTGGGACTCTGTCAGCAAGAACACCATCACCAGACACCAAACCTATAGGGCCACCCAGTCTTGGACTTAAACCTCCAAAATTGAGCTAAATAAACCTTCTCTCTCTCTCTCTCTCTTTTTTTTTTTTTTTTTTTTTTTTACAGGCAGAGTGGACATTGAGAGAGAGAGACAGGGAGAAAGGTCTTCCTTTTTGCCGTTGGTTCACCCTCCAATGGCCACCGCGGCCTGCGCATTGCACTGATCCGAAGGCAGGAGCCAGGTGCTTCTCCTGGTCTCCCATGGGGTGCAGGGCCCAAGGACCTGGGCCATCCTCCACTGCACTCCCGGGCCATAGCAGAGAGCTGGCCTGGAAGAGGGGCAACCAGGACAGAATCTGGCGCCCGGATCGGGACTAGAACCTGGTGTGCCGGCGCCGCAAGGCGGAGGATTAGCCTATTGAGCCACGGCGCCGGCCAACCTTCTCTCTTTATAAAGGTAGTTGCCTCTACTATTTCACTGTAGTAATGAAAACTTGACTAATGCATCTGATAAACCCCATCCCAACCTCTGCCTCTCAGAGGAAACAGAAAAACACAAGCACATTAAGAGTGCAACGTCTAACCCCCAAATACGCACAATTTTGATGGATCTGTTAAAAAGAGATTTTAAAAGAGACTGCCACCTCTCACAGCCTCAAGGCACATGGCCCTTGGATGAAAGGGAGAGACATGAGGGTTGAGAGGCAAAGAAGTCCATTTGAGAAATGTTATCCAGAGGAGAATTTTAGATGATGCTACCGGGAACTGGAAGCCAGCAGATCAGAAGCCTCCTAAGTTTCCGAGTTGGCCTAAAAAGCCTTTGATTATTCAAGACATAAAAAACCCTTGGGCACCCAACTCTGATGAGCAGGAGGCATATTTAAAGACACTGATCTAAGGAGAGTGTCTTAGAGGTGACAGGCTTGGGATGATACGGCTTCCGCACATTCAGACCAATGCAGAGCTTGGGAGACTGTGAGTGAGCTGAATGCAGTGCCTGGACGGGGCCTGAAGGCACTCCCACTACGGAGGCTGAAAGTGTATTTTATACAGAGAATAAAATGTGCGGTGACAGTGACAATGCTAAGTCCACCACCCATTTCCTCTTCCCCGGCCCACAGATGTCTACAATCCTCAGCTTCCCTTCAGTTCCATGGGACCGTATGAACGGCATTCTTGTCTTTGAAATGTCAGGGAAAGTGATGTGATTTGTGCCACTTTCACACTGAGGTTACAGCAGTAGGTATGCCTTTTGCACTCGCTCTCTCTGGTACAGGAAGCTCAAAACAAATGACTCAAAGCTGGAATTTCAAGAAAAAAAAAAAAAGTAGCCAGATCCACCAGCCTTCGCTTCAAACCAAGCCACACAGAAAAGCAGCTCAACACACACCAAAGTGTGAAGCAGTCAAGAAACGAAACTCCATCATAGTAATCTCCTGAAATATCAGGATTAACCTATTGTACAAGGAAGCATTAATTCCCATGTGTTTGTGTGTGTGTGTGTGTGTGTATACACTATTTCTTAGGATGTTCAAAAGCAATGTAATAATAGAGAAACGAGATTAATTATGACTTCTAGAAACAGGACAGCAATCACCACTAGATTTACAAAACTCAAATTAATAGTAGAAAAAAGTAAATTATAAGAGATTTACCAATCCTCAAAAATAAGTGAAAGGAAAGAGAACACAAAAAAAAGTGTAACTACATCAGCAGACACTGTCTGTACCCTACCCACTATCCAACACAGCCCACCTTTCTCCCTCACCAGAGGACTCTCAGATTGTTCATGGAGTAGCAGAGGTCCTTCACGTGCAAGAAAGGTGAGTTTCTACCCCAGCCTCATAGGAAAAATAGCAACTTATCTAAATCAGTCATGTAATACTATTCTCACTGGCAAGTGACCAATCTAGGAGTGACCAGATGTCCCTAATCCTGACAACGCAGATGCAGGCAGAAGCCCTAGTGAAGGACTCTCTTCTCCAGAGGTAAAGACTTCATCAGAGAACCTCCTCACGCTTGGCTCTTTCACCCACCTCCTTCTTCATGCTGGAAAGAGGAGGCAATGCCTTGAGTTCCCAGAAGATTTTTACAGCTAAGAATAGGGTAGCAGAAAGAAGAGATGGGTCCCTGATAATTTTGTTGAGCAACCTTATTAATACCATCCACTAGGCAGGCATTTATCCTAGTAGTTAAGACATCCACTTACCACATCAAGGGACCTGGGTTGGACTCCAGGCTCTGGTCCCTGACTCCAGCTTCCTGCTAATGCAGAACTTGGAAGGCAGTGGTGATGGCTCAAGCAATTGGGTTCCTGCCACACACATGGGAGACCTGGATTGAGTCCCCAGATCCCAGCTTCGGAGGCCCTGGCCCAACCCCAAACATTGTGAGCATTTGAGGGATGAGCCAGACAATGGGAACACCTACTCTCTCCCTTTCTTTCACACAAATAATTAATTGATTAATTTTTTAAAACACCACCCACTGTAGACACCTCCAGATTTCTTATCCTTTGAGAAAAATCGGGAACTTAACAAAATAAAGATCTATGATTTAAGTTAAATATGTCACTATAACTACAAAAGAGTTATTCAACTGAGCAACTATTAGTTGTGTTCTGCTCAAGCACATCCCCACCTGATACGGACAATAGGCACACAAAAACAGAGAAGCTCTAAGCCTGAAGTGCATCATTAAAACAAGAAACAGGAATAGCATCAGTTCTCCTATTAAAAATCTGAGATGGTCGTATGTGATTTAAAAAAAAAAAAAGGCAAGAGAAAGCTATGTGTTATCCAAAGAAAACATGTATTTTGGAGGCCCACGTTGCGGTACAGCAGGTTAAGCCACCAACA